GGCTGACATGTTTGACACACCCACCAAACAAGAGAAAACGTATCTCAAACCCTGTTGCACACCGTTTCCAGGAAACATTTCGTTCAAACTGGAAACCGTAGCAAAACGGTGCACACCAGTTTGAGCTTGAACTTGCCCCAGGTTTTGGTTAGCCTCTACTTATGGATTACTTGTAAACTTGGGCCACCTACTGGTGGAACTAAATAATTACACACATTTTTTTTTATCACTTAATTTTTTTTAAATTCGTCTAAATTAATCATAATTACACTATTTTTTCTGCTGTTGATATATAGGCCTACAATATGACTGTTTTTCCCCCTCCAATATGGCATTTATTACACTTTAGTATTTTATTTTTTTTACCAGCCAGTAAAGTACACAGTTTTATTTATTTTTCATTTACACAACAGTACAAACTTTTATGGCGTAAACATGCAGTCAGCACAAGGCAACATGACAATCTCACATAAATGTAATGTATGCAGGTCCAGATCTAACGTCATTGATAAAATGCTGATCAATTTTGGAATTTTTTTTCGACCAACTGGGACACAATATATAGTAATATTTGGGGTTATATATATATATATATATATATATATATATATTACATGGGCATATATAGTACCAAAAACATAATGAGAGAAAATAAGGGTGTTGTTGGGTGGCAGTTGTGTTTATCTAGCTTGACTTGTGACAGGTTCACGGGCATCCATTTCCCGAGACATCTGACACCATACACAGGGACAACAACAGAAGGTAAGAAGGCAGTCCTTTGCGATATTACCCTAGAGATAGAGAGAGATTAATTTACAAATATAAGGGAGGAATTTATAAGGCAGAATAGTTGTTTGAATAGTTGTAGTAACAGTGTGGTTTTGTATACCAGACATACAAACTAAGATATTTTGTAAGACATTTTACAAAACATTCATAGGAGAGCCTTTAGAAAGATGAACATGTGTCCGAACCTCAATGCTGTAACGATGGCGCATGGATACCCTCATCAAACCAAACTGATCAATCAGAGGAAGGCAAAAACACTCGCCATACCTCTTAGCCGTATTACACGCAAACCAAGGAAAGCAGAAGAATGAAATGCAACCTATAAATGCAATTTACTGTTAGTGATGCGAAAACATAAGAATGACAACTAAATTATGATACTCAGAAGAGACTCACACTTTGTTTTATTGTTTAAGTCCAGGCAGCCAAAGATTCCAGTACTCCAGTGGTTGGAGGCTTTGGGCTGCTGAGATGACATCCTGTGTATTGCTTTTGAGATACTTCTTTTAGAGGTGTTCACATAAATAATTAAAAACAACAAATTAGCTGCACAAATTTCTGCAACGAATGGTGAATAACAAGTTAACATTATATTTTGTAATCATGGCCTAAATATTCTGAATACACTAAATGCATTATATTTATTACAATGTATTTATTAAATGCAGAAATTAACACATTATTTTCCCAACCCTATTTTGTTTAGATAAGCTTGGTTCCATTTCCAGACGCCGTGCGTGGTATTGATATTGTATGCCTATTCTTTACTGAAAATGGGTCACAAACACAATGTATATCTACTCTTTAAGCTGTGCCAGTATAAATTCAGCAACATGCATATCAAAGGCAAAATCACCAATTCCAAAAATTTACCTGAGCGAGAAGGTAGAGAGGACAGGCAGACTTGTGTTCAGTGAAAAGGATTAAACTCAGCTATGCACACACATCTCACTTTAAATGCTTTCTAAAAGTCACTGGTCCGGTTATTTGCTTTTGTAATGAAGATAAATAATTCCACAGAGCATTAATCCAGATTCTGTGGAAAAGCTCATGCTTGCCAGTTCAGGGGAAATCGTTTTAGAACTCATGCCAGTGAGATTAATGAACAAGTGAGATATTTGTGGTTTGCTTTTTACATGCAATGAAGTGCCCTGCACAGATTTTTCTATATGCTACAGGTTGTTTGAGCATACTGTACATTTGTCTTTAAAACCCAGTAAATGTAGTTATCAGAACCATGCAACATATCAAATTTACTGAGAGCCAGCTGCATTTCTTCAGCAAATACATCAAGAATGATTGTAATTATTGCCACTGGAAAATGTAAGAGGAAGAAAAAAAACACACAGGATGGAAGTTAATTTTTCTGATGAAGATGGTGAAGTTTTATTGCAGAATAACAGTGACAAAGTACACAAAGCACCATGGAGTGCTGCTGAACCCCTAACGTCCTCCACTCAAGTTTTAGAAAAGTTTACCATATGGAAATAAAGTGTAAGTTCAACCAAAAATGAAAATTAGTCCATGTTTTACTCACCCTATAAGGCAGGTGTAGCCTATATGACTTTCTTCTTTTCAGATGAATCTAATCGGAGTTATATTAAAAATTATCCTTGCTCTTCCAAGCTTTATAATGGCAATGTTTTTGTTTGTTGTTTATAAAGTTTTAAATATGGATATTTTTCTTCAAAAAACACATTGATTCGCTGCAGGGGGCCTTTATTCACCCCCCGGATCTGTGTGACGCACGTTTTATTATGGATGCACTTTATTTGACCACTTTTGGACTGTTGAACAAAAACACCATTATAAAGATTGGAAGAGCAAGAACTATTTTTAATATAACTCCGATTGGATTCATATGAAAGAAGTAAGTCATATACAGATACCTTGAGGGTGCGTAAAACATGAGCTAATTTTCATTTTTGGGTGAACTAACCTGTCACTGAGAACAATGAGATTCCTTTCAGGTGACACACTTTGTTATTAGTGCAGTATACTGTGGAAAAATTTTCATTTTTGGGTGAACTAGCCCTTTAAGTTTCTCCCGTTGTAACCGTTGAGGTCTGTATGCACTATGCTGTCCCACTGATGGTTCTCGCAGTGACCCACACCTGCTCCCATTATATAGCTGAAAACCATGTGTGAGCAAAGTGTGGATATTTGTTTTTCTCTATAATGCCTTTTAGTGTGATGTGGTTATTCGAAAATAAATCTGACAAAGTGTTATTCACATTTTAAGGCAGGAAATTTGGATACAGGCCTTGGTATTTTAATACATTATATAGCTGTACAAAGTAGAAAGATGTATTAATTAACCCTTGTGTTGTGTTCAGAACCCTATCACACTTACGATGTTACAGAGCAAAAAATTGCTTATAAATCACTCATTATGCTATATTATCACCAAATATTGGATTCAATCTTTTTGTCAACTTATTTTCTTTCATTTAGGACTGGATTTGTATTTATATTTGCATCTGATTAATCAGGCCTCATTTATCTGAGACTAGGCACCTCATTTTTTGAGTGAAAAAAGCATTATTTATGAATAATTTTTACAATATTAAATAAAAACTGAAGAAAATTTGCACTGTTTATCACTCTAGTGTACTTTAATGTTTAATCAGAGAGTTTGTTTTGAAAGGCTTTTATTTCGTACAAAATGGCCTTTGAGGCCTACACCACAAGTGTGACTTTGTGCCATTTTGTAAAAAAAAGCCTTTTCTTTAAGATGGTTTAGATCCTACCTGTCCGATCGCTACCACATTGTTCATTTAAATGGGGAGTCATCTCAATTATCACCAGTAAAACATGGAGTGCCACAAGGATCTGTCCTAGGTCCTCTGCTATTTTCGATATACATGTTGCCACTTGGTAATATTATTAGGAAATACGGGATTAGTTTCCACTGTTATGCCGATGATACTCAACTATATATCTCAACAAGACCAGATGAAACTTCTAAATTATCTAAGCTAACAGAGTGTGTTAAAAATGTAAAAGATTGGATGACCAATAATTTTCTCCTATTAAATTCAGATAAGACAGAGATATTACTTATTGGACCAAAAGACAGTACGCCGAATCTCGTGGATTACAATGTTTAATCAGGGAGTTTGTTTTGAAAGGCTTTTATTTTGTACAAAATGTACGAAATACATTTAAAATCTGGACAGAGCTTGCTTGTTTGATTTTAAAATAAATACACCACAAGTGTGACTTTGTGCCATTTTGTAAAAAATAAAAGCCTTTCAAAACAAACTCCCTGATTAAACATTAAAGATTAAACATTAAAGCACACTATTGTGATAAACAGTGCAATGCCGGGTCATTTTTGCCCTGGAACATCACAAGTGTAACAAGGTGAAAAATCTCCCCCAGAAAAGTATGAAAATGATAAAAAAATTTTTTAGAAGTAGTTATACTCTTTGTGAACAAAGTCACAACATTTCAGTCCAATGCGATAACATTAACTAGTATTTTCTGGAAAAATAATTTTTTTTCAGAACAAAAAGGACCCGAACACCACATGAGGCTTATTAACATATACTAAAATACAGACATACCAGACAAACATCATACTGTTTTTATTAAATGGAACAAATACAATGGTGCATATCTAATGCCACTGAGAACAATGAGATTCCTTTCAGGTGACACACTTTGTTATTAGTGCAGCATACTGTGGAACAGCAAAGAAGTTGTTGGTTTCCCAGTTGCCTTTATTTTGCTCGATTGTGGACAAGAGAGATGTTGTTTTCACGGACATTCATTTCTCGGGACATTTGGCACCAGGCGCAGACGCCACAGAAGGTGGAATAAACGCAATCCTTACAGATAGTACCCTATAGAGAGACAGACAAACACCATGGGTTCTCCACAATTATATGAGATATTACTTGGATAGAACAGGGTTTAAAACCAGTGTTGGGGGTAGCGCATTACAAGTAACGCGAGTTATGTAATCAGATTACTTTTTTCAAGTAACTAGTAAAGTAACGCATTACAAGAGAATATCTGAGTTACTTTTTTTCTTTTTTTTCCCCAATGTATTGATTGACAGCTCTCCTGTCGCCATGTTGAGAGAAATCAGAAGATGTTACTGTAGTTCTAAAATAAATATGAATATGCATTAATTCATCTCACTCACAAAAAACCCCCAAAAAACACCATACTGTGGAACAGCAAAGAAGTTGTTGGTTTCCCAGTTGCCTTTATTTTGCTCGATTGTGGACAAGAGAGATGTTGTTTTCACGGACATTCATTTCTCGGGACATTTGGCACCAGGCGCAGACGCCACAGAAGGTGGAATAAACACAATCCTTACAGATAGTACCCTATAGAGAGACAGACAAACACCATGGGTTCTCCACAATTATATGAGATATTACTTGGATAGAACAGGGTTTAAAACCAGTGTTGGGGGTAGCGCATTACAAGTAACGCGAGTTATGTAATCAGATTACTTTTTTCAAGTAACTAGTAAAGTAACGCATTACAAGAGAATATCTGAGTTACTTTTTTTCTTTTTTTTCCCCAATGTATTGATTGACAGCTCTCCTGTCGCCATGTTGAGAGAAATCAGATTGCTTCTGACCTTCGGTGATCCAGTTCAACCGTACTAATAAGCCGAAATTACTCTAGACAAACATTTGTGTCTTTTTTATTGCTGAAGTGTTGAAATTTCTTCTTCTGCATTCTACTGTATGGACATAAATGTACTTTCCCTTCAGCCTGAGGCTTATTCATTTCACTTTTGGTGTGAAAAGGCTTTTATATTTGCCAAAAATATAACTTTTTTATTTTAAAATCAAACAAGCAAGCTCTGTCCAGATTTTAAAAGTAACGCAAAAGTAACGTAACGCATTACTTTCCATAAAAAGTAACTAAGTAGCGTGATTAGTTACTTTTTTTATAGGGTAACGCAATATTGTAATGCATTACTTTTAAAAGTAACTTTCCACAACACTGTTTAAAACACAGATTGTATTTGTCCAAACCTGGATTCCATAGCGAGTGCGCACTGATACCCTCATGGCCATTGTTATTGGAGGAATGCATCCAAATCCGTCGAGCAGAGGCAGACACAGACACTCGCCATGCTTACGAGCCGTCGCACAGGCAAAACAGGGAAAGCACCAAAACGAGAAGCAACCTACAAATAACACTACCATTAGTGATGAGAATGAATCAATATGTTAAAGAGTTATAAGAAACACTGATAATTCACATTGATTGAAACGTCAATATTTCTTTTATGAAAGTGACGTGACATGTGGCCAAGTATGGTGACCCATACTAGGAATTAGTGCTCTGTATTTAACCCATCCAAAGTGCACACACACAGCAGTGAACACACACACACACTGTGAACAGTGGGCAGCCATTTTTTTGCTGCGGCGCCCGGGGAGCAGTTGGGGGTTCGGTGCCTTGCTCAAGGGCACCTCAGTTGTTCACACATTCACTCCCCCCACCTACAATCCCTGCCGGTCCGAGACTTGAACCCGCAACCTTTTGGCTACGAGTCCGACTCTCTAACCATTAGGCCACGACTTCCCCAAGTCTCACACATTCACTCCCCCCACCTACAATCCCTGCCGGTCCGAGACTTGAACCCGCAACCTTTTGGCTACGAGTCCGACTCTCTAACCATTAGGCCACGACTTCCCCAAGTCTAGATTTCTATATGTTTATATATGTAGCACCATATAGTCCTGTGAGGCACATTTCGTTCCTTTGCATATGACAATAGTATAACACGACTCTTATTTGAACTGATCAACCACACATCAGCAATGCCACTTTCACGTCTCTCCTATCCCTTCTTTCAGGTGCTTCAAACAAACGTAGATGGCACCATCTGGCGTCAGTAATCAATTCTAGTGTAAATAACTTCAGAGGACTTCAGTATTTATTGAAGTGTTCATCTTGCTAGGCCCATTGTTTTGTACACTGTAATGGACTTTTTTGGACTACTAAATCTGTCATATTATTGTGTATGTTGAGTATAAAACCTTCATCCTTTCCGCTCCTCTATGGTGAAACTTTCGAGAACCAGCTGAAGACACACTTTCACAAGGACTCAACCACACCACAAACTTAAACCAATGCACACACCCACATTGATGATTTATAAGCCTGTTTCCTCATGGGGACCTCAAAAATGTCCCCACAAGGTCAAAATTTACTAGTATTACTATCCTTGTGGGGACATTTGGTCCCCAAAACGTGATCAATACCAGGTACACACACACACACACGTTTACTTTAAATGGGGACATTCCATAATGGTTTTTATACTGTACAAACTGTTTTACAAATGAGGACGTCCCCAAAGAGAGGTTTCTGGAGATTTTGTCAGGTTAAGCTCACTTTTGGGTACAAATTTGTCCTCAAAATATGGTTAAGTAGGCACACACATGTAAGGATCCACCCGCCAGCCCAAAAAGCGGAATCCAGCGGCCTGGTCGAAGGTTTAATGCATATTCGGTCTTTTACTTGCGCTTCTCAGTTATCAGGACTTAGTTTCAATTTAGTCTAGCTCCGTGTTCAATCTGACTCCAATTTCACGTGATCAGTTTTTAATTAGAAATATTGCTTTGAAATATTGCCTAACTTTAATGATCACAAATATTAATTTAGATATTCGATTATTCCTGACTCACTATACTTTCACTTATCCGTTCACTGGGGACCTAATGTCCCTTTTAAGTCTCACGCTGGCCTTACGTGGATCTTACGGTCACAAACTCGCCAGTCTGATGCTAGTCAGAGGGTGTAGGTAGACTAATACCTATTTTGCCTGCCGCCTACTGCTTGCTTATGACAAAAAGTGTAATTCACTTAGTACTTTCCCGTACAACTTGCTTTTTACTTTCTTCAAAAAACAAATTCTGTATGATTTATAAGCTTGTTTCCTCATGGGGACCTCAAAATGTCCCCACAAGGTCAAAATTTACTAGTATTACTATCCTTGTGGGGACATTTGGTCCCCATAACGTGATAAATACCAGGTACACACATTACACACACATGTTTCCATGTTTTATGGGGCATTTGTTCTTTGGTCTAGCTAATTTTCTCATCTAGCTTTCTAATAAACCTGGCATTGTATAATAAAGCGTCTGCTAAATGTGTAAATGTAAATATTTCCCCTGATTCTTTCTATTGCTCTGTCTGTCTGTACCACTGCACTGTATGTTAAATGTCTGTATCAAGGATATGGTTAAATTACTATAGACTAGATTTGTATATAGGCATATGTATGTAGCACGGTGGTCATGTGAGGTGCAATTTGTAGCAGAATGATAATAAAGTCCATCTTGAAGCTCTAAGCTAAGCAGAAACTATAAAATAATTTATATTCAAAGCAATATTTAATGTCTCTGTATGAATTTACTTAGTGAGAAGCTGTTTAGTAAGAAGGATAATATATAGTCCACCATAATTCTCAAAAATCCCCAAATAAAAGACACATGATCCCTTTCTTAGCAATGATTCGGGCACTCCTCTGGGGTAAGCCTTTGCACATTAGTGATGTTTTATAGTTGCAAAGTGACATTCTTTAAGGAAATACACCCCCAAATGGCACACCAAAATAAACAAAACTGAAAGAGAGAGAGAGAAAGATAGAGAGACACTCACACTCTGGTACATCTTGACAGCAGTCACAGATTCCAGAGCTCCACTGGTTGGATGTGTGTGCCATGACAAAGGGCCTGGGCTGATGAGAAGTCATCCTGTTTATTACGAAATCCTTCAACAGACACAAGCGCACACAGTTACAGAAAGATAAAAAATTCAAATTAAAATAAATAAAAATTAACTTTTTTTTTTTTTTGCAGTTCGCTGTCCACATATCAGAGTTTGAATAGATTCTGAAATTAAATCTAACTAATTAGTCATAGCTGAATCATTTTTAATTTATGTAAGCATAAACTACAGAACATGCAACAGTAGTCAGGGATCAACAATAAAAATTATTTTATCCTACAGCTCAGTAAGACCAGTAGTTGAGGTTTATTCCCTGCCCATTTTTCATTACCATCAGCATAAAAATACTCTGGAAATCATAGTTATTCCTGAAACGCTGACAAAAACCCAGTTAGGCATTTAAATCAGTGCATAGTGGTAATAATGTTCAATATAACACGCTAAACGAAATACTTATGTATAAAAAACCTGATCAACAAATGTAAGACATCACATTACATCAGGCCAACATTATTGTTGAGCGCTTTTAATATCGCTTTAAAAAAGACTTCATATTTTGTCTTTTCTAAAACTGCACTGAAAAACAGTTGGTGTAGACAATTTTCACTCAGAATCTGCTAGTAAATTCCATAAACAATTACAAAGATATGGTAATTGGGTATTTCTTAAAGTGCACAATTGTTTTTGTCTCACAGAATACACGTTAAACTAATGCAAACTGAATAATCACAAAAAAACTGCTCTTACCGGAGCGTGAGACTAGAGAGGATGGATTTGTTCATTCACACTCGGAAAAAGGATGGAGATAAGTTGTTAAGACAGTCCCATAAAAAGTAGGTGTGCATATTAATTAAAGTACTTCCTCAAAGTCACTGGTCAGGTTAGCGATGTGTCACTGCTGATAACGCCCATGACCTTCCACCTGAAAATCCATCATCATGTTGTTTTAACAGGGGCATAGTTTCAGTAGAGAATGAAGAATCTCTTGTTTGTCTGTAAGCATGTGCATGACAAACTGTCTTTGGTTTGCTGGTGGCATTAATGTGTATAAAAGGCAGAAATATAAAAGTTAAAACAACATTGCTCTAAGATAATGTGTGAAGTGATAAGGGAAGGAGAGAGCTTTTTTTATTCATTATATAACATGGAACTGGACAGACCAGTTATTAACACTTACACATATAGCTTAAGTGTTGCAAAACAACAGTGAAATTAAAGGAAAACAGACATTTTATTTAATGAATATATATATATTTGTAAGATTTTCACTACTACCTTGACTCTTTTTTGGGGGGGCTATGAACGCTGCCTATACACATAAGTTGTCAAAACATGTCAGATATAACACAATGCTGATTTGCAAAAAGGTGGTTTGCTAACATGTTATAGATTTCTATGACATTTTAGTCATGGTGACAATGAATTCTTATTAAGGATAATATTGCCAGATGAAGTTGGACTCTAAAAGTCAAGACCAACAACACTCTTAAAAATAAAGGTGCTTCACGATGCCGTAGAAGAACCTTTTTGTCTAAATGGTTCCATAAAGAACCTTTAACATCTGAAGAACCTTTCTGTTTCACAAAAGCTTCTTTGTGGCGAAAGAAGGTTCTTCAGATTATAAAAAGGTAAGAAAGAGATGGTTCTTTAAAGAACCTTTGACTGAATGCTTCTTTGTGGAACCAAAAAGGGTTCTTCTATGGCATCGCTTGAAGAACCTTTTGAAGCACCTTTATTTTTAAGAGTGAATCTGTCTTTAATTTGCTGTACACTGCCGGATGATCCAGATAACACTATCTGTCAGTGTTTTTGGACTTGGTAACCGACAAATTTTCAGTTGGTCCAAGCTGGACAAATGCCAAATGTGCATCAACAGCTTACAGTAGAACTATTTAACAAGGTCATGTGTTGTTTTACCTTTAATACATATGCAGTCTTTCCTATGCCCATGTTGTTTATTCATTTAAAAGAAAGTGAAATATTTAGTCTTAAGAATATAATATTCACAGACACGCCAGCAAAAAAGAAGGAAAAAAGTCAAAGAAATATAAAGAAATAAAACTAAATAAAATATTAAAATAGCACCAACATGGAGAACTATAGCAAAAATAGAAACGATAGAGATGATGTTAATGATTCAAATTATTATTGATTGTTGACTTCGAAAACAAGTACTCTTAAAACACTAGAATGCAATTAATTTGTCCATCTGTGGAGTGTATGTACAGTATTTATATTTTTACAGGAGACAGTTTTGACATAATAATTCATGTAAAAGAATTGTATACGTTTTTGTTTAGATTATTATGACTTTCTGCAATAATTAAAAAAAAATTTTTTTTATGATTTTATAAGGGAATTATGAGAATATAAAATAACTGAGTTAAATGTACAGGTTCATGCAATTTTGAAATCAGTTTAGTTTGATTATATCAATTCATCTTTCTTACATGTACTATAATAACATGCGGAAAATTAGAAAAAAAAGATATGTGTAATCATATCAGAGGGATGGGCAATTATGAGTAAAGTTTGTTTACCGTAATTGCTTTTAATTGAACTGAGCTTGTCAGACTTGTTATAATATTACAAGCTAAGCTCCTCTTTCAATAGCTAGTCCTCTACAGTTCTTCCACCCATACCAATCCCACATCACGTCTGCCAGCTTTTTCCTGAAATTAAAGTATTCCAGTTTCAAACACAAACTCAGATTTGAGTGATTTTGTAATTAGTTTCATTATGCTCTGACCTGAGATCAATCCGTTGTGATCGGAAGCAATCACACTAGATGAGATGCACATCATCTAGATCCCCCAGTGGTGTGTAATGGGTTTTAGAGGATGAAAAAGAGCTTGCATTGATCTCTTAAATCTCACGGGAAATCTGACACCAGGACAGCAGATAGCAACAACAGCCATAAAACCAGTCACTGCACACATCACCCTGGGAATAAGACCGAGAGAAAGAGAGAGTTGAAATGATGTAAAGATGCCAAGTCATAACATCCTGAAAGCTAATACTGTTTTGGCATAAATCTCTTGCAGACTGAATGAATGACCCCACTCTCAACTCTTGTTTTGGATATTTTTATGAAACATTACCTCATAAATCACAAAAAATGTAATTCATCTCCATCTAGTGGTAGAATGAAATACACACATGTCAAAAGCATTTCACTTTTCTCATCTTTGTCTCTTCGGGTAATTCACCCAAGCAAAGAAAAAAAAGAGAAAATTCTGTCTGACATTTTTGAGAGTGTTGGTAACCAAAACAAGTAAATAAAATAATTGATACAGTTCTCAAAATGTATTTTTTTATGATTCGCAGAAGAAAGAATGTCATAAAAGTTTGGATCAACTTGAGAGTAAATTATGACCGAATTATAATTTTTTTTGGTGAAGTATACATGTAATTTTTATTTCTAAAGCACAAAAGATGCTAACGGAGGGTCACAAATAAAAATGTGTTGAAAATTTACTCATCCTCAGGCCATGCTGTAGATTAGTTCGTTTTTTTTTCATTGGAACAGATTTAGAGAAATGTAGCATTACATCACTTGTTCACCAATGGATCATCTGCATGAATGGGTGCCGTCAGAATGAAAGGCTAAACAGTTGATACAAACATCAGAATAATCCAAGTCTTGTGAAGTCAAAAGCTGCATGTTTGTATTAAACAAATCCATTATTAAGATATTTTTAATGTTAAACAGTATAATACGAGTCCTCGATGCATAGTATTGTTGTCTCCAGTGAAAAAGTCATCTTATCTGAATCAGGAGAGAAATATGAACAGATTCAGCACCTTTATAAAATGGCCCAAATCCGTTCTACACAAATATGTCAGCGGATTTTAATGTAAGAGGGCAACAGGGAATGGACATTTTCACTGGATGAAGTGTTATTATGGATTAAGGATTATAAACACACTGCTTTTCCCTTCACAATACATTAATTGATGAAATGGGGTCGTGTGGGTTAAAAATTTCAACAAATTGTTTATCTGTGGACGAACTATTCCTTTACAAGGCCTGCCTTCAATTTGTATGACCACTAGATCATTTCAATACTAAATCCAATTTAATAACAAAAATAATTTAAGTTGAATTTAAATATGCTCAGTTTGTCATAAAATAACAGTAAAGAAAGAAATCAGAGGACAACTTTATGACTCAGATCTGATATCGCAGAGCTCTTTCTTTCTGCAACAAAATCGAGTTCTTATGTCACATGTACTCACATGTAACATGCAGTCACGGCGCACTGGTTTGTGTTGTGGGTGTTTGCTATCAGAAGAACTTTCAGTTAGTTTGGTGTTGAGAAAAGATGCTTATCGCAACCAATTCACATGGTTTTGGAAGAGGGTCATATGGGTGGAATGTAAGTGTATGTGTGGGCATTGGGTCATGTGCGTGGATGTTTGTGTGTGGGTGCCTTTTTGTGTAAGAATATTCATGCTTGCAATTGCATAACTGTTGTAAATCATTTCCAAAAAGAAATTTGGTGCAATGTAATAGTACTATAATACTAACATGGCGAATTAAATGACTATATGTATTAATGATTGCGTTTTTTGTTTCTTGTCACAGTATTTGAACATGTTGCAGATTAACGTCATTACACGAGTGATTTCATTTCACCTCAATGCCGTAACGTTCTCTTACAGCTGCACGCATGGCCAATGATGCTGGCGTTCCACATCCGACACAGTCCAACAAGGGCAGACTGGGGCATCCCCCTGCTCTTCTGTTCGTCTTAAAAACAAATAAAGGCAAGCACCAAAAAGCACAGCAACCTGAAACACACACAGACATCGTTTCAAACACAAACAAATTATGCATGTGTATGTTTTCATTGATATTTCACATTGCAGTTAATGTGAGATGATGATGTTTTGCATGCATTAGTGCAGTGAATAGACACTCACAATCATCCATATCCCCCCAGCATTCACAAAGTCCAGTGCTCCACTTGCCGTCCTGTTCTGCTGAGCTGGGTCGGGACTGTACCACTCTCAGCAGCAGGG